AAAAATGAACAAAATGAAAAATTATGATTGGTTGAATGAGGTTTGCATGGTTTGTACAAATTGATTGGTTTGTATTTGATCACTCCCCTATATATATATATATATACAAAAAGAGAGACAGATAGAGAGATGAGTGCTTGCATATGCACAATTTTCAACATTGGATACCTATGAAATGATTTTTCATGGTCCCATTTGATGTAAATTTCCTACTTACATTATTTCATATCATATCAGATAATATTTATTTATATTGTTATGTAATTATATCAAAACATTTTTTCATCTAATTATGTTCAAAGTAACTCAGATAAATGGTCGTTGCCGATACAAGCTTGAAAGAAATAAAGCTTAATGAAGGATAAGATAATCATATTAACAATTACTGATATTCTATATCATACGTTAAAACTTAGATTATACTACAAATGCCAATGACGATTTCGCTTTTACCAAACTGCAGGTGAAGCAGATTCGGTGGAGATTAGCTTCATGGAAAAAAAGGTAATAATCACCTTGACTCGTAGACCTCCAAGAGGAGCCAAAATGTCTGAAAATCAACTTCAACATGCTGCAATCTACAAAAACACCACAAACAAATCCTCTCTAGTTAAAAGGATGTTTCGCTCTTCATCTACTTGATTTTTTCATCTGAAGGATTTTTCTGCTCCACTGCATATACAAAGAATAAGTCGTTGTATATATTGAATGTAAATGTAGCAAAATGATATGTCTGATAGTTTGAAAAATATACCTGTAATTAACTCTATTGATTTTATTAAATTTTTTTATAGAGTAAATATATGTTTACAGAAAGGATTTGTTTGGATAAATATACATGCAAGAGTTGTTTATTATACTTATCTCTTTGAGTTGATTAATAAAGTATGGATCATGTGATTCAATAAATATAAAATTGGTTCATATATTAGAACATATGGTTGTCGTAACACTATTGATCGATAGTCTGTTAAGTGAAGGGCATTTTGGTCATAACTTTAAATCATCAACTTATGTTGGTATCTAGACTTCGAAAAACACGTAACATACAAAAATTATCTTGAAGTTGGTATAAAGTAACAATTTATAATTTTTTTTAATATATTTTAGTTAAATATTAGATTTTTTTTATAAATATATATTAATTATTGGTGTTGAAAACATATAAAAAAATTCAGAAAAATAATAAGTTTTTGTGAGATGAGAAGAGTGAAGATTATAATTTGAAAGAATCGTCTTAAAATTTTGATGAAACGCTCCGTAAAAATAGAGTGAATGATTTGAAAAGGAGGGACGATGACGTGGCACAGGGGCCCCACGAGAAATTTATTACAAGGCCTTGTTTTGTCAAATTACCACTAAATTCAGATTCTATTGACTTTCTGACATTTCTAGACGTTGTACAAGCACAAATACATGATTTCCAATTTCTTTTATTTCATACCAGTCGTGTATTCATATAATGTGACGGAAGCTATGAATTTTTACGATTTTAAAGTTTTCATTGGTTTTATTAGATAATATTTAACGATGATATAAATTACAATTGATCGTTACATATTATACAATTTGAATAAATAAGAGTTATGATTTCAATTACAGTCTATCGATGAAAAAAAATTGTATGACAGTTTAAAATCTAATATATGTAAAATCCAACATATTTAAACGACTCCACAGAGGTGTTCGATTTACACTAAGAGCAAATAATCAAGAGAGCGAAAACCGAGAGTTCTAGAGCAACTGAATGGGAGATGAATGAGATAAATTTTAATAAGTCGTGGTGAATATCAGTTTTAATCTCACCTTGGGTAATAAGGAGAAGACATAGAGGTATGAGAGGGTGAATGCATAAGTGAAATGTGTTAAAAGTATCTTGGAAAACATGAAAAGAAAATGTAATAATGTGCATTGGTAACTTGCACTATATGTTATTTTAATTGTAGATTAAGAGATTTTAATACTAAATGCATAAATTAGTAGTTATTAATGTATTTTTGAAATAAGTTATTAATGTATTATAAGTTGTTTTTAAGACTTTGTACATAAATACATAGTACTTTATGTATTAAAAATTGTTTTTAAGACTTTTGATTAATCTGGTTTATAAGATAGTATAGATTCTTAATATTTGAGTAAAAACATATGTCTTGATATTTTATATTATTGTAATAAAATCTAAATAAATATATATT